CTGTAAACTTGTCTCGTGCTGATTAGCTACTCTCAATGAAGATAGTTTGTTGACAGTGTTTTCCGCCTTGTATATAGACTTAGATTAAGCTGTAAACGTCAAACCGCTGTCACCAATCCATTCCTTATATCTTTCATCAAATAAATCATTCTGCGCTACGGTGAACTGACTCTTCCATGAACCGACTTTACCTGTAATAAAATCACATAGAATTGCGTGTAATTGGAGTCAAATGCCAAGCTCTATCACCAAGTTTGACATTCCTAAGTGTGCCCAGCATACGTATGTGTGGAGCACTAGCACCCTGTATCTGTGCCTTGACCAAACAAATCTTACTTGACCTCAACTCCCAAAGCTGTCCGTTAATTAAAGAAAACGACCTAGTAGAAGTACTTCAACAATTATTTAACATGTAATTTAATTAAGTCATAAACTAATGAACTCGGCACATTGTACCCGTTTATTTCTAATTTGCATTGTAAAATATAAACACTCATCACCAGAAGGCACTGCCAGAATACCAGTCACATACTCTTCACCTAATTAATTAAAACCTTAATTGTGATCAAATTCGTATCATCTCCTTAAACTCTTATAAGAGACACGTGACACAGTTTTTCGGGGAAGAAGAGTTTAAAAAAGACAGTTACCACACTCATAAGCTCCAAATTGTGACTGGTCATAGTCTATATAGAACAAGAGAATCGTGAATGATAACAATTTTTTGTTCAATTTTTAGAGATTGTCAGAACAATTACACTAATAATCACAATTCCGAAGTTATATGCAGTTACCTTTTCTTACAAACGGCGACTGTGATTGGTCCACTTTGAATGCTCCCAGGATATTGGGATGTTGCCTTGGAGCATTTTTTTTCATATTTTGAAATGTACACTTGTCAGCAATTCCTTTAATTTGGTTCTCTAGACTTATGTCCAGGAATCTCGCTACCTGGCTCACCATTCCCGCGAGATCCTAACAAAAGAATAACAAATACAATGGGGAATGTCACTAGTTTTCTCAACCGTGTTTCAACCCCACTGTTGCAATGCTGTACAATGAATCGCTTCCCAAAAAACAATATTTGTCCAGTTCAGGCATTTGCTCAAGTCATCAAGGTCGATAACTTTCTACAAAAGGTTAACTGCTCACATATAATCTCAATTCCCACAAAACCCATCACTTTGATGATGTTGTTCTATTTAAAATTGTTAATTTTACCTTTTTCATTTGCTTGTACGTAACGAACATGACATTGTCTTCAAAGCGCCTATTCCACCAGTATAGAGTATGATCTGCCCAACTGCCAAAAATAACTACATGAAGAGTAAACTTGAAGTGAATCTCTGTACAACTTCTAGTATAACAGGCTTCAGACTTTCATATGAAACATACTAGTACTTGTGATACTTTATATGAAAGTACAAAGTCGCGCCACGCAACGCAAGTGACTCCTATAATAGTTTTTAAAATCAAATACTGAGTTCATAGATGAATCAATCACTCTGATATTTAAACATTGGGAAGGTTGGCCCACGTGAATGGCATTTCAACAGATTTATGATTGACCCTAGAATGAACATAACGATAAAGACTCTGTTTATGACATTGTGAAATTCTTTCGTTTTTTGGAGAGGCGAAAACAACTGATCCTGGCAAGAAAATTAAGAAGTCTGTTCAAAATGAAATATATTGCACATGCACACCAATGATATTTACCGGTCACATGTGAATATGGAAAAAACAAACAATTTGCTATATTCTCTAATTTTTCATTTCATTTGTCTTGAATTATGAGTGACTGAATGAAGCTGAAAAAACTTGTGTATGAATTATAACTTTAATGAATATAATTTGGATAAAACGCCACATTCTTCTCCATAAAAACGAAAAAAAAATTCACAATGTCATAAACAGAAGGTCATCAAGACTCTTGTAACGGGACATTTGTTCACGTGACGACAAGCCATAATAGTAATAGAATTACGGTACTAGATCACAACATCATGTCACATTGCTTATATAACCAGTATTTACCATCATTGTTGATGAACGCATCGTAAAACTCTTCCCAGGATTGGTATTTGGGTATCATAGGGTCTACTTTGTGGTGGTAGTACATAGACACAGCTACATCTTTAGCGTTCCTGGCTACGTAGATAATCTAAAACAAATAAATAATGTAAATGAAATGAAATGAATAATTAATTAAAATAGGTATAGGTTGACAACAAAACTAGCTAAGTTGTAAACAAATTTAATTTTAGTTTCAAGTGTCTAATATGTTATACCTTTGCTCTGTGTTCGTGTATTTGCGGAGGTAATAAGTGGCCTGGTAAATGACTAGCTATGAATCTGGGAGAAGGTGCTTCCTTCAGAAGTTCGTAATTCGATGGACCTCTCGGCTTAACATATTCTGGATACAAGGCACGGTCTGTGGTACTTATTTTATAACCTTCGATACCGTGATCGAGGATGTGGTGGATAATTTCCATCATCCATGTTGTACCTGTGGGATTATAATGAAAATAGTATTGACCCAGATTTCAGAAACTCAAACAAAGCATGATCAACTTGCACAAACAATTCCGTAATTCTTTAAAATTGAAAAAAAATATATTAAATCAAGAACAAAATACTATTGGAATTGATATAGAATTATTGTTACATTATTCTGTAAGAGAAATTGAGATTAATAAAGTAGTAATTTTGGCCTGTATCTTTTTTTGCCAAATTCTGCTTATTCATGTTGCTGAACTATTATTTGCAAAAGATTTTCATGCAATTCATGTTATATTATATTACAAATACAAACAATTGAAAAGAGATAAAAAAATGAATGTCAGTTAAATAAAAAAGATAAAATATTTTGCTAAGGCTATGTTATTCTCTATAATCCTTTGAAATATGGATTTCACATCCATTGTGTACATATTCATTGCACACTCAGTTTTTTTCTTTGTTCTATATAACAGGAAATGTTTTTCATCTCCATCAATACCTGCCTTAGGGTAGGTCAGCAACCATATATCATCATCCCTTACTTCAAATGTCTTCATGGCATCGAATACAGCCTCGGTAACTAATTTGGGATATCGACGTCCTCCATAATAGTTGCAATCTTCAGCTTTGACAAATTTAGTGTGTTCATCCATTCTTGTTTTGGACTGCAAATTCAAACAGATTCAGATTTTCATGGTTATGGTCGAGTATGTATCGAAATTGCATGTTTTTTTTTCCCTACCTCAACTACTGCTAGATATGGGATTGTTGGTACATAATGGTTCATGAACATTACACACATAAAGCGACACACCACTCACAGATTTGAAGAACTAGTGTCAGTAATTATGTTCTATCATCACGCATGTGTTGCCTAGTACAGCATATTATGATGACTTGGCCGATTCTTCTGTGACGTCATATGTACAGCCTTGTATGTGGTACTGTATTGGAATGAAATGAAATTTCCTAATAAAATCAAATAACCCATACATAGTGCTCGCCAAATGACACAGTTGCCTCTATCTTATTGTAATATAAGAATTGTAATAATAATACTAGTAGCTTCACGATGATTGGCTTTCATGGTGAGTGGCAGAAACTTGTTTTTTCATCAGAGTTGAGAATTTAATTTTGTATGTGTAATTAACAACTATATTATTATTGTTTATTACTTATGGAATGATCAGCATTTAAATATTAATACATTAACATGCATTATACAAAGTATACAAGATATGTAATTATTAGCTGTGGAATCATAGCCCCCTGAGGGCCGTTTTTGGTCGTCGGTATCTGGCTGGCCCGACTTACAATACAAAATTTGAAAAGAAGACGTCCAAGTAATAAAGAAAAAGGTAAAACAGTTGTCAGTCGCAAGATAGAGCTACGGATCCGCAGCTACTTGCACTATATATAAGACAAGGGAGGAAACAAAATGTGCACACATTTTTCTAGCTGCCGAAAATTACACCTCAAAATACAAAATACCTTGTCCAAACCAGTTACGAGTGCTTACAAGACACTGAACTATCGCAAAATGTTGTCCGATTACATATAAATCATATATTTTTCCAGATTATAAGCATTTATGACGAAATTTGACAATTTCTATTCTCTGTGATACCAGCCTTCAGGTTGTGTCAATCTGCGCATGCGTGCACGCCCTCAAACGCCAGGACTGCATTTCCTTTTTTTTTTTAGTCAGAGTTCTCAACTATTCATAATCATTCGAGATAAATCTGAAGCATCCTGTTTGATATTTCAACTAAATTGAGAAAATCAGGTAAGACAATATAGAATTGTGTATATAAATGATTGTGCATAGTTGAGAATTTCAAACTCTGGCAGCAAAGAAAGGAAATGGATCTTCAATTAACGCCCTCTTGTGGGCGTCTATTGGCATACAAAAAAATACACACGTCTATAAATTACAAATTACACAAAATGCGTCACAACTTTGCATGTGTACTGTGATTGCATATTTTAATACATACACACTCAAAAGATTTATCGTATAACCTGGACAAAAGACAGAATTATTTTTCCATGCCATGAAGCATTTCATCCATCAGTGTAACATGCGGTAATTATAATAAATGAGATTTAAAGTTTACAACTGTGACCTGTGAATTGTATTAACTGACATTTATTTTCAAATGTTAAATACCTATTTAAATGGTTAAATAGGTATATTATTTCTACTTTGTAGTATCATATCCAGGAGTTCTGTGTGTAAGCATAAGATTGTAGTGTGAATTTTGTTCATCAATGCTGTATAATGACGCTACCTCCAGGGCCTACCTGTGATTCTGAATCCCATGTTGACTATGCCCCAGACTGTTTATTTACTTACTTTTCAGTGTCTGACCGATATATACAAAATGCAACCAGGAAAACGCCTGAATAGTAGAATAATAAAGCTAAAATCATAGGCGGCGACACCAAATTTTGCATGGCGGGAGGAGGCTAGATCTGCCTACCATCCCTCATGCTAGAAGCGTGACCTTACTGGGGGGGGGGCATGGTCCCCGGATGAATTTTCAAATCTAAACACCGTATGGCCCGAGTGATTGACACTGTGCACATGGTCCTGTGCGGCCGGCAGACACAGAATACACATCTAGTACAATCTGTTTCAGTCAGATTAAAATGCACATTTGTGGTTTGTGGTTTGTCGCGTAATGAATTAACCCTCTTTTAGCTAATATATATGTTTGTGTTATCCTACCGACACCATAAAAAACCATGTGAAAATAGAGGGCATTTTTGTCTGATACCTTCAAATACCATACCATTTTTGCACATTATCCCTTGTGGTTTTACATCTCCTGAAGCATTAGATTATGAAATATTCTTACAACTTCGTGTATGCATAACATCAATTATGATGTCCTTTATGTATTATACTACTTTTATGAAATAAACGAAAGGTATTTTTCTAGTCATCACTAAAAAATCACACATGGCTTTTTATGTGTTGGGCTATATTGCTGTTGGTATGGATTTATGGTTTATTATGGTATCAGAGGTATTCTGGACATTATGGTTTTGTATGATAAAATGAGTTACACTTAGATTGAATATGGTAATTTATGGCATTTTATATGATACTTTTTGTTTATCATATTCATACTTAGTTTTTCTTTAGCCAAATAAAATCAGTTGTCAAACTGTAGAAATGTTCATTTCTTTTGAAAAACAAATTCTTCTAGTGCCGCTAGTCTATAAACAAATGAAGATCATTAACATTTTAAAATGACAGCTGTTTTAGCCCATAAAAAGGTTACTACACAGGCAGTGCATGTAAATGCCAAATCTGTTGACAGCACTTTTAGTTTCAAAATAAATTCAGAGTTTAACAGAATTTCTCATTTAGGTAATTATATTCTCCCAAATGTCCAGAAAACCAGAAGCCACATTCTACCATAACATGGTATTTTATGGACCAACGATTTCCTTTCCCAAGCCATAAAAACCCATATTGTCTGGCTGAATACTTATTCCTTCTGAAACCATAAAGTACCATATCTGTAATTATTACTGTAGCCATATAATGCCATAAGATAAATGCCCTAAGTTCTGCACAATCTGAATGCATAAAATACCATATAATTGATTTTAGACTGGAAACATCCCAAGCCATACAAAACCATATTTTTGGGGGTAATATTTTTTCTCCAAAATTCAAATTCTCCAGTAGCATAGTTAGTTGATAAACCATGACTTACTCTTTTAAGCAAGTTCACTTTTATTTCTGGTTTCATGATTTATTAACAAAATTCACAGCTGTCATGTTTATTTTAATTAGCATATTTTTGTAACCCTGCACTAATTGTACAATTCAATTTATGTGTCTGAATTTCATGGAATGAGAAGACAATGATCTATTCTAAATGGAAAACCACGTTTAGTGTCAATTGGATTACTTAAAATGCAGTAATTGACAATTGAATTTGGTTGAAATAACACAAGTCTTGGCTAGTTATTGTGAAAAGTATGCTGGGAGAATAGGTGCCCATTTTTCACATGGTATTTTATGGCGTCGGTAGGGAGAGGGTTAATCAACAGAGGGAAAGAATGTAGCAGTTTATGAATTTAATATATATTTTGTGCATTTAATATACCAACGTTCATTATGTTGCAAACCACAAATGTGCATTCAAACCCTGACTAAGACAGATTATATTCTATATCTGTGGCCTGCACAGGTTCACGTGCACAGGCGGCAGCGAGTAAATGAACAAACATATGTTGCATTGTGTAAAATGTGGTGTTAAATCGTGTCAAATGCCCTGCAAAAGAAGAAAAAGTTGTTAGATAGTCATACATTCGTTGCGCATTTAATATATTAACATTAGATATGAACACATATTGAATATAATTTATACCCGGGCCGAATCGACCTGCCTGCTTTAGGGTCGGATCCTCTTTTTTTTGCACCAGGGCCGCAAGCAACTAGGGTCAGATCATCTAGAAAACCCATGTACCAACTATTGTTACATGTGTGGTAAACATTGATTTAAAAGTGAAATGTATAAACCAGCTGCTGCAGAAAATACTATTTTTTTCTCTAGAAATTTGACCATCTTGTTTGATTATAAATTAATGATTTTTTCTTCAAAACCTCAAATATCGAGTACGTTTTCTACACAACTTCTACAAAAAATATTTTGTTAGCTCGACCTACTACCGAGTGCAGGTCAGATCATTTTTCAATTGAAAATGTCAATTAAAACACCTAAAAGATTTTCCCAACTGTTTCGGGCAAAAGTATGAAGAGTCGTGTAATCGAGCATTGATATATAAATAGTGCCAGTAGTAAACAATTTCAAGAAACAGTTTGATCGTTGAAATATGTTTTAACTTACACAGTAAACATGACAAAGTTGATAACAAACTTACTTATATGTATACAGGAATGTGTAGGCAACCTGTGCTGATTATCGATCCAGCTGAAATTAGTGTATTCTTCAGTCATCGACCCAGTGGTGACTCAGCATTAACCAAAGGGGCATGACGACCTATATGACTGCTGAGATCCACATGGAAAAATAAAACAATGTCTGTTGAGATGCAGAAAGCTACTTTATTGTCAAAATTTGGCCTAAAAATGATAAAATACGGCTAAAACTATGACCAACTACGATTATTGCGACGTCATTGTGTGACAATGACAATAATTTTATTTCCTTGTATCCATCTGCACTTAATACATTATGCACAAAATATAAAAAACAAGTCATTGTTAATGACACAGCCCCCGTCCAAAATGTCATGGCGGGGACAACATCGTTTGTAATTTCGCGTAATTTCTGCCTTGAAAAAGAGGTACGCGCCCTTATACATGTATATCATCGCCTGAGTAAATAAATACTGCTATATATTGATAGCTTAACGGGGAACAGAAAAATGGTGTACAAAATTATGCTACTAAAAACTTGAAAGGACGGCTAAACAGACGAATCCAATAGAAACTGAAGAAACTTTTTAAAGACACCGAAGATAAAACAAATCGTAGGTCACGTACGGCGACGTGTTCCTACTAGGTTTAGATACAGGTCCTCTAACACGTGATAGAGGGACTGTGGTTTAGACAATCGATACACATATACAACAGATGAACAATTAAATGATGGTGAATTTGCATGACAGTAACTTAAGCGAATAGACTATACTATATTTAGCGTATCCTGTTTATTGGAGATAACTAACTCCTAACACCAGTGCATTGTCTCAGATTCAGGACTGATATCAGGATACTACTCTGTCATGCATCGTGCCATGTAAAGAAACAACAACAATTGGAAACGCATTGGAGGGGGAGGAGCAGTAGCTCGGCTCCGATAGAATGCTAGCTGTCGTGTAAACGTACCAATTGCGGGTCATGGGTGCTCTCGTACCATAACACGCAATCTTGCATAATCCACACATTATTCCATGAGCTTCGATGAGTATTCACTCTGATAGTGGCGGCACTGAACTGTGCGCGGTTTTCTAAGCTAGTTTTCCAATCTAACACTCTGAATATCAGCCACGGATTGGTTTTCCGGTTGAAAAGTTCCACAAAAATATTGTGCCATATACTTAGTGGAAAGTATTAGGGAAGCTACTATATACATACATCGTAGAGCTGTAATAAAAGTACTGTGCAATGGAATCTCTTTCGAGTTTGTCCGCAAAAACACAATTCAACTCTTTGGAGTGCATATTGATTTTGCAAATAATTATTGACACCTTGCATTATAACTGCTAAATGTAGCATTTGCAAATAATTTGAATGAGATTATCTGCCGTGTATTGGTATTTTAGAAGATTAAATTTGGCATAAAATTATGCCCGGGTGAACTTAATTTAATAACCTCCTGAACTTTAGCTCGTCTCATTGTTAGACAGACCGTTGCTTTGCCTGTGGGGCACCGGGTGGTGGGGGTGGGGTGGCGTGGTTGTGTGTGTGTGTG